GTGTAGATGGGTGTAGTCCGTGAGAAGATCAAATCCACACATGTCACACCTGCATGCTGTAATATCAATGTGAAACAAGAAATTTTGATTTTAAAAGTATTTGAGAGTCTATGGTATCTCTATATACAAGATATTTTAGAACTACATGAAACCAAATAGAATTCCATAATATTCTGTAAAATTCGAAAACTATTATCATTCAACGAAACTTTTTTGTTAATAATATAGCTCTGATGATATAGATCATCAGATGTTAGATTGTATAAGATCTATATTATAATAACAGAATTTTATAAACTTTGATGATTCTTCACGAAATTCACTGTTTCTCTAAGTGTATACATTTCATATCAGGCTTTTCAGAAAACAAAACCATTATGTAGCATCTCTTTACAACCAAACTCAGTCGTCAAAGGGTTAAACAAATCATTCATCAACCTGAATCTGAGATTAAAGTACTATGATTCCTTATAGCATTATTTTGCTTCGCAAAAAAAAACGAATCTCATCCTGAATACATTAATAATGATTTTTTTTTTAGTTGAAAAACGATTCTCAAATTTTGAAGTCAATCGTATATTATCAACAATTGAACAAATAAAAACTCGTCTTAATCTTATTGAACGTTGGAATGTATCGTATATGTATGATCGATTACAAAAATTACAAAGAGATTTTATTCAAATAAAACAAAAATCACCAGCAGATGAAGTATTTTTTTTAAGTTTATTTATTTATTTTTTCATTTTTATAAAATTTATTAATTTAGACATTGATGAGTGGTGATTATGATGTTGACATTGCATCAAAATTATCAAATATTGAACAGAAATCAACACAAATTTCTGAAGTTGCTAATGAATTAGATGTAAGAAATTATTTATTAAATGTTGTTGTTCTTTTTTTATTTTGTTTTTGTAATAGAAATTAAGTCGTGATGCTGATGGTGAAGCAAGAAATATTATCAATGAAAAAACGAAACCATATGATAGAAATTTAATTGAACAGTTACTTGAACAAGAACGAACAACAAACACTCAAAAAGTTAAACGATAGCATACATGTTTTTTTTTTGTCTTAATCAATTTTGTTTTTTATTATATTTAGGATACAAATCAACTATCAAGAACTCTTCTTTCATTGAATGAAAGTTTATCTATAAATGTTGCTAAATGGCATGATGAATTAAAATCTCTTCGAGTAAAATCTTTTATATTTGAAGAGAGAAAATTTAAAAACTAATAATCAATTTCTTTTTTGTTTTTTTTTTTCATATAAGAATGAACTTGAAAATCTTAATCAAAGTATAAAAATACAAGAACTAGTTGTACATTTTCAAGAATTAACTGATATCGTGCATAATTCATCAGATAAAGTATATGAATTTTCTTTTGACAAAAAAAAATCAATACATATATTTTGCTAATAGGTATCAGCAATTGTTACTACATTACAATCAGATCTTAATAAATTACGCAATCAAATAGATTCATGTAAATGCACAAAAGGTAAACTTTTTTTTGAAAGAATTATTTAAACATGAATTTATTTCTATATTTAGAATCCCTACATTTAAAACCATCAGTTGTTGATAGCAATCAATTACAACAGAGTATTATTACAAAACCTAAGGGTAAGTTCAATAAAAATAAAATTCTTGAATAGAAAACATCGAGATATTTTGTTTGATTACTTCTTATTGAAAATAGACAATGACAAAAATGACATTTTAATCAATAGCTTAGCCATACTATGACTACCAGATGGCTGAACATTCATCGAGATTTTTGTTTTTTTTTCCATGACATAATTACAGAACACTATATATATATTAGGGGTGAACATTTATGTAGATGATAAATTTTACATTCTTCTCACTATTTATTGTTACTTTAACATCACAGCATTATTATACAGGATAGTCCATGAATAGTGTTCTATGAAAGAAAGTTTGAATAATTCCACTCTATCAGCGTAAATTGTTTTTCCATCATAAGGGTGATATATTCAATCGTGTATTTCGTTCTAAGGTATATTCTATCTCTATTATGATATAAAATCAACAATCTTCTATTTTCATTTGTTGTATATGTCCGATTCTAGGCTTCCTGTAAGCAAATCCACATTTTTACCCATCTTTGGAAAAAAAAGTCCTGTAACCGACGTGTTAAATTTATACAACATTGTTCACTAAGTGTCAGTCAGAATAGCTTGCTTTTGTGAAACACGATCTAAAAGAAGTATTGACCTGTAGAGTTAGAACTTTGAACCTACTCCCATCGACCAGACAGATAGTTCTTAACAACTGTTTATGACAGACGTTTTAGCAACGACACATTGCAGACGGGACAGATATCATTAGCAACGTCTGTTCTCTACATCACAAGCTGTGTATCGATAACGTCTTGTTATATATGGGAAGTACTTTCTTTAATTACATTTGCGGAGAACTAAATAAATATGATGAAGGAATACCTTCCAAAACAGATAGAATAAAATAATCTCCTTGTGAATAGCAATAGCAATCACATAGTGTTTCAAATTTTAATCCTGTCAAGGCAACCCTAGTAGCTTTTATACTTGGAGTTCATAAAAAAAATATTTTCTAGCGCATTATATTTACTATTTAGTTGTTGATACTCTATCATCTTCATCTCCAACAACAAGCACAACTACAATGTCTCAAGAGTGTAAGTATTCTTCAATTAAATGTGTCTATGAAATAATATTACTTTACTAGTTACTCAGTCAGAAAAAGTCGATCATAATAATAATACAATTGACAGTACGTGATAGAAAATTTTTTCTTTGAATAATTTTCATTATTATTTACAAATAGTTGCTCAAATTGTCAATCAACCTTCATAAATTACTAATTAATTTCATCCGTCCATTGTTGGATTGTTTTCTTTTTTTTTTCAAATCGATTTATATATTATATAATGTCTGTGTATGTTGAAAAATAATCTTATTTTGTCTTGAACAGTTTTTGTTACTGCTTGATGTCTATTTGTTGTTCTTGTTGTCGGTGAGCTTGAACACCATATGGAAATCTATCCTTGTTTTGCTACTTTTTGTTTTTCTTTTGTTTTGTATAATAAATAAAGAAACAAAAGTCAAAAAAATTAATAAACTTTATTTGATGAAACTTATTTTTTAAGAAAAAATGAATCGTAATCAATGCAATATATATATAAACAATATTCCTGATATAACTAATGAAGATGATTTAATGTAAGTTTAAATAAATCTCTGCAAGAAGATTTATTAAAATTATTTTTCAGTTCATATTTTTCAAAATTTGGTATTATTGAAAGTTATACATTTTTTCCAAAAACATATTTACGTAATAGTGCAGCTGCAATCATAACATACGGTTCATCTGTTGATATAAATTCTATTATAAAAAATAATCAACGAATAAAATTTAATAATCAACCATTATTTCTTCGTCATACATTACCATGTACACGTCCTGCATTTGAACGTTTTATGTCATCAAATGAATTAGTTGTATTATTAGATAATTCAAATGATGATAAACAATTTAATGAAATAAATATTAAAAAATATTTTAGTAAATATGGTAGAATTACATCATGTCGAATTATAATTCCTTCTCGAGCATTTTTAATTGGTTTCATTGAAGCAAATAGTGTTGATTGTGCTATACTTGATGAACCACATTTTTACAATGAAAATAAATTAATACTTCGAAAATATATTTCACCAAGTCGTATTGATTTATTTCGTACGAATAAAAATTTACTTGATAAAGATAATAAAACTATAAAATATTCTGTTTCGGAACAAATTCGTCGATTAAAACATATTATTGAAGCATTTCAATTTGGACAAAAAATACAATTAAATTTAATTAAATATTCTTATGAAAATAAAAAAAACAAATTTAATAAAGAACATCATGATGATAGTATGAAATTATTTATTCAATTAAAAAATATTTGTGATAATATGAATAAAGATATTGAACAAATGAAAGAAAAAAATTCTTTTTTTAAATTAATGATAGAACAAACTCAAGGAATAAAAAAAAATATTATTGATTTATATAAAAAGAAAATTGAAAATGAACAATATCGAGCTAATCAATTGAAAGAAGTAATAGATTTATTTAGTAACTTTTGAATCAATCTTTTGATCAATTTTTCTATGTTAATTATCTTCAAAACTCGTCATACAGATGTTGATTTTCTGTTATTTTTTTTTTTTGGTTTCTGTTGGATAGATTCAATGTAAATTACAAAAGAATAAGAAAACTAATGGTTAATAGTTTGAAGTATGAGACATTTGTATCGCTAAAATTAACTCCTATAGACGATGGTTTCGTTTTCAAACTACGGTTTGAATTAATTATAGATAATTTCTTTTTCTTATGCTATACTGAACTGTATTTGAGACATGATGTTGGTAACAATACCACATCTTACTTTACTGTTAGACTTATGTCCTGGATGAGTACGACTTTCCATTTCTGTGAACTATTTTCAAGTACAATGAATTTAAACTTGCATTATCTTTGTATTTAATTCTTCCTTTGTCATCATCATCCGAAATATAGACAGTCGTTGTTTGATCACAATTGATTTCAGCATAACAATTACCATGAATACTTATATTAGTTATTCTAGTTCGTAAATCAAAACCATGTAATCTACTACTACCATCAATGTTAATTTATCGGTATTAGCTGTACTCATTAGATGCACTTGACAAAAACCATTAATAATAGTATTAAGTTCTTTGATATACATACTTGCATAAATTGAATTAAATCCATCCACTACATTCAAGTTCAAATATATCAATATTCATACTGGTATCAGAAATTTCAACTGATTCTATACCATTTGTTTTTTCAGCTACACAAACGGTAAACATTTATATAGACATCTTTCTTGGCTTTACTACGATGATAACTAGTCGAACGTGTATGTGTAGAAGTTAATAGATGTTAATAATCATGTCCTACGTGATGATCAACCATTATCAGATACTTGAATACATGAAATGCTCAAAATAATAGATGTTTCAATTTTTTCTAATGATTTAGCTTGATTACTGACGAGCATAACCTGACGTACGTCAGATGGTTGACCATTAGCAGCATTAGTCCTTGAACTAATGCATGTAACTGATACATTTGAAGTTTCTAATATCAACAAAAAACAAAAAAGATAAATCATTTCTAAATATTCAATACATCTAAGATAATTTATAGATACTCGGTAGTTTTATTTGTCATAATACGTTCTTACGTTTTATTTTCGACTTTGATTGTTCTTTAGTTTGAGTTATGGTTGCTGGAGGAGATATTAAACGGCAGCAATGAAACGAATAAATCTTGCTGATAGTCATCTATTGCATCAAATGATGATAACGATTACAGTGAAGCAAATGGATTATGCGGCGACATAGTTGGATTTATATTTATTTGAGAAGAAGGTGTGCGAGGGAGAGAGAAGAAGAAGAATATTGAATAAATATTGAAGATTGTACAGTAAGTGATAGGTTTTAATTTCTTGCATTACGAGTACAATTATTCTACTATGTTATATACAATTAGATATAAGAAAAAAAATCATTTATTTTTTATCTTCCAATTGATTTCGTGTTGGCTGAATTCTGTTAAAGTGTACATATGTCCACAATAATTATAACTGGCTCTCATAGTACTACTGTAGAAAAAATAAAACAAATTGGCATATCTGTTCATTGCAGTTTCAGTCTACTTTGATAGTCATAGACGTGCTCTAGAATCTGTTGTAAGTATCAATGATATTGGATTCGATTTACGTGAAATAGGTGGAAGAACACGAAGTGTTGCCGGTAGGATTACAAACAGTAAATCAGCAGTAATGATTGAAATGATTGCATTACTAGTACAGTTACGAGCGCTTGGTGTATGACTCTGTTGTCTTATGCTAGATGATCTATTCTACCGTGTAACTTGTGTTGAAGCTGAAGGTAATGTCGTTATCGTCTAATTCGTTGTATTTGGATTGCTCTGTTTATTTAAATTACAAATTAGTTACAATGACTTTTGTGTAATCGTCATTATTTTACTGTAGAATCAGTCAACATGTTTCGTAACCCATGAAACTTAAATCTTTCAGTCGATATTTCAGAAAGACAACTAATAATTATTGCCCAAAGTTTATTTGTACATTCTGTAGAACGTGAAGGACGGTTACCAGTTATAACTTGTATACGAACATCATTATCATTGAAAATATCAGATCAATGCATGGCACCTTGATTATACACTTCAATTATCGGCATACCCATTGAATGCATATCGGGTTTTTCAATATGAGCTGCTGGGCTACTGTTTTGAAGGATTTCAAGTACGGTTATAAGTGTTGAAACAATCTAATGTTAATTAACAAAAACTATCATTGATTTCAATCTAGTGATAACTAACATGAATCGTAGTTATTGAAGTAACATCAATAACTGAGAAAAAAATTGAACTGTGTCGACTTAGACTACAAGAAAACAATTAATAGGAACCAATTTCTTTCTTCATTATCTTCTCAAAACAAAAAATCATGGCATCACTAATTTGATTAAATATTTCTTGAAGAATTTTTATCATTAGATAACTCTTGTTGATCAAACGAAATTTCAAAATGTCTTTCTTCAGGTGCATATTTTTGTAATAACATAACTAATGTAGTATTTGACATCACATCTTCAACAACTTCATATATGCGTACAATGTGTGGATATCGACTGAGTTTAATATAGAATGAAGTTTTCTTTTGAGCATGTGCTGCACCAATTTGTAATGTGATAATTGATGGCCGTTGGTCTTGAGTAATTCATTCAGTCTTGTAAATTTCTTTGTCAAATGTTTGAAAAAGTACTCGTTAATCCCGTTGAATACCAGTACTCAATTTAAATTGATAATTTTTACTTTGAGTATTATTTTCAAAAATCATCTACTCCTTTTTTTGTAATAAAGTTTGGATATAGAGGATCAATAATCAATAGTGCTCGTGTAAGACGACCCTTTCCATTAAGATTAATTTCTTCTGTAATAGCTGTTCGTTCATATATATGATCATCTTCAGGCAAAATAGGCTCGTCACATAATTGTAAACTAATTGAACATATTAATGCTGTTTCTAAAGACTTCAACATCATTTCAACACAATTAGATATTAATTTGATCATCAAAATTTCGGCTGTATTTATTTACTTGTTCGTTCGTTTGAACATATGACGAAAGAAAAAAAAAGTACAAAATTTGACGGTTTTTTCGAAATGAACACTGGTCTTATTCAACTTTTTTCAATTAATAAAACTTCGTGAGAACAAAAGTATTTGTGTGTCATTTCTCTTTTGACAGTCTTTCTTTTCATCAAGCAAAAGTCCATTTACTCTTTGTTGGATTTCATTACTACATAATAAAGGCAAAAAGGTATTTTCGAAAATGCATAATCAAACTCTCAGATTTGTTAACAGCTCGCAACAGTTGATTATCATTTCTGAATAATGAAGAGAGTCAATGTATTTTTTTGCTTTAATAAAATGAAAACGAAAATCTTCAAAACTTTTTCAATTATATGTTGCTATCAATCATTACATTTTGAATGACAATAAAACTTTACCTATACGCGACAGTCAGGCTAAATAATGATATACACTAGTTAATCAAACTGATGAGAATCGACATGATTCTATATGATCAGAATCACATAATGTTGTTCTTAATTATTTTGATATTTTTTAAGAATAACATGAACACATTCTTTACATATTTATTATTTCATATACTTAATGAAATCTTTTATTGACTATATTTTTAACAGAATTAACCATTCACATTAATTCTTGATATTATAAAGAGATTTTGATAATGTCAACATATTATTGTTTATTGAATGATTACGTTTCGAATTCATGTGTACGTCATTATTATTATCTGTTTTTGTCATTCACTAATTTCTTTTTTGATCTTTTCTTTGGCTAATTTACTAACTTGTATTCAGTCAAAATAAGACGATCAAAAAAAGCAATGAGTCAATTAAACCAATTTATCCCAATATTCAAACAAAAAAAAGAACACAATTCGTAATCATCTTAAACAATCAGTTTAAGCTTGTTAGAACAAACTTAATATTATCCGTGACCATTCACCATTTCGTCACATTCTCCAATTCACTCTTCAATTTCGAACATGTCTTCTGACAAGAATCAAAAATGTTCATCTTCAGTTTCGTTCACAAAATTTATTTCTCGTATTACTCGCACACTTTCATTTTCATCCAAGAAACGGCAACTATTATTGAAGAAATCGAATAAAGTCGCACCAAAGCAGCGATCGATCCCAAAGGTAAACTATTATTTATTTTTTCTACGATTACTCTAGTTATATTTTTTTTTATAGGATACCTTATTCGCTCCAAAAAGTGTTCCTGTTATTCGTCGTCAATCACCACAACTTATCGCACAAATTCTTTACAAAGATAATAGTATACCAGGAAATTACTATCAACAACCTAGACATGTAAACATGTACAACAAGTATAATTATGAAGATAATGATGATGAAGATAATTATTCACGATATTCACTTCGACCTAATTTATCACTCTTTAATATTAGTTCCGATAATCTTCATTATCAACGAGACGATTATCATGAACAAATGTATCAACAACAAAATTGGCTTGACCATATTTTTCATTCAACCAAAATTGAACATTCTTAAAATCTTTTTTGTTTCATTTCTTTTTTTGCTATTTATTCATTATCATAATAAATTGTTTTGGTTTTCTGTAGTTTTCATGATATAATTTTGTTCTAAAATGAAACGAATACAAATGCAATTTGATCTACATTATGCTATTTTAATAATAATTCTTCAATTATTGCGGTGACACATGTTCATGTCATGTGCTTTTTTTTCTCAAAGTATTAACTGTGGAAACAACGAAAATGACAACAAAGAAGATCAGGCCGAGGTATAGAGATTAGTTAAGGAATGGACCTATTGTTCTATCTCTTATACCCTTCATTCTAAATAGCTGTGCAAACAATAGGACACACAGAATTAGTTCGAAGAGTATGTCAACGTTTTCTTTCTAAATGTTTTCTGTTTGTTCGAATTATTGATGTTTTGAGAAAATCAATGTGCAACTATGCAGGAATCTAGCATATTAGGGAAAGTTAAATGATGCAAGAATTTGTTTTGGTATACAATTTCCTGGTACATGTTCGGTAACTTGCTGTTCGATGGATAATGCATATTAACAAAAGTGAACTAAGAACAATATATTCAACAGTGACAATTCTTTTCACTAAATCTGAACTGCGTATATTCAATCTACGAACTAAGAGATCAAAACAATGTAAAATAGATAGCCTTCTTGTATTTACATGTGTTATGGATTTTTTGTCTTGAACTTATGTATCTGCTTTGTATCTTTGCTGCGAGGTATTATAAAAAGACATGTGAGACGGTTTGTTTCCATATTAATCGTCCACAATTTGCTTCCTTTCGTTAAGAAGTAAAATTGAATATGAGTATTTAAGTTGCACATCAAATACAAACTATATCATATGTTCGTATATTTTGAATAGAACAATATCAAGTCCAAATACGGCATTTTCATTGATTCTACTTATTAATGGTGCTGCAGAATTACTGAACTCCAAAGCTTCAATGAAAAGCTTATCTCAATAGTCAAGAAAATAGAATGAATGAACAATGATGTTCACTAATTTGTTCGTTTTACACGATTTAGTATCGTAATTTTTTTTCTTATAGTATCCTTACATGAAAAAAACACATGGTGAATCATTTTGCTCATATTTGATGTTATTGTATTCTTAACGAAACGATTCGACTGATAATTTGCTTGTGATTTTGTTCGTACTATATATAGTTGAAAAAAATAAAAGAAATACAGTACTCGCAAAATTGATCTAGTCCTACGTAATCAGTTCAATTGAGCATTGAATTTTAGATAAAATAGAACATTTGTACATAGTATATTATTTTCTTTCGTCATGTTTCAAAAACTATTGAAATCATTGTGTATGTTATGAATAATATCTAATTGATTTTGAGATATTGATGTATCTAGTTATATAACCAACTACCAGTGTTTAAAATTGAACAGTTCTACTATACATTGTTAGATAGCATTATCAATACTGTGCTTTCAGCTAACAAAAGACCAACATGTATGAACTGTTGTAATGTAAGACCAAACAAAGAGTCATGGTTATGTATTAACTATGCAACATGGATAAAAACGTACTCCAGTCGGTATATATAAATGTTCGATTATTCTGGACTATTTGTGCGCCACTGTATTCTCGAATGCGATGCTTCATGTTATGTCATACTGATGAAAACTTCGTAAGAAACTCACAAAACAAAATAGATATGAATGTGATTTATTCTCTTCATAGTTGGACCAATCATCTTGCTTATCTCATTATACATCTCTATCATGTTTCGTGGACAATCATTAAAATATAATTCATATTCGAATTTATTACTTAAAACAATAGCTCATCACAATGGTATCTCCATGGGTATCGTTTCAGATGAAAACATTATCTTCTATTTAAAGTGTGAGAAGTCGATATAGCATGCGAGAATATTTATTATGAATTATAAAAAAAAATAAAATATCAACAGTAGTTATCGAACTATTCATAAAATTTTTTTCTGACTAAAATTGCAAGATTAAATAACCAATAATAATAGCAAGAAATTCAAAATAAAATATTAAAAAATGACTATTTGGTCATTTTCATTTTCGATTCAGTGGTTGTTAATTGCACGGCTTTGCCTGATTTAGACCAAGCATCAGCTCCTTGTGTATCGTTTGGAGCTTTAATATCTTCCCGTTGACGTTTCTTCCCTTCTGTTGAAAGCTTATAATATTCATCTCGTTGATGTATTAAATCTTCATTTATTTGTCCATCTTTTACAAATGCCATCATTAATTGTGGAACACCGAGAGGAATAGGATCTCCACGATCAATTTGCCATGCTATTAATAAAAATATTTCATAAATCGTTTATTTTCTTTCTAATCATTAAGAACTTACTATGAAAAGTTTTTCCATATGTATTTATTAATTCTTTCATGACTTCCTTTTCGGCTATATCTGGCACACCTGGTGCAATTAATGCACCACTTTTAACTTCATATACATGTGAGTGCCATAGTTTCTTTTCTTCGGCTGGTAATTCATTAAAAAGTTTTTCAGAAATAATATATTCAACACCAATAAGACGTGCATCTGCACGATCACTATCATAAATAACACATTGACGAACATCTTGATTTATATGTGAACAATAGTGATGAGCAACCAATTGACGATTGAGTTCACCTATAATCCAAAATGCAAATTAAAAATGCACAAAGAAATCTTTACCAGAATAAAAATGAAAACCACACACATGTTGATGAATTGTATTTATTGGAGCAAAATGACCCTAGAAGTAAAAGACTGTTATCGTAATTCCTGCAGTATTAAAATGTGAAACACGATGTAGTTGTTAGTTACAAAGAGAATGTTTTATCCTATCTGTTTTAGGATACATTTTTTTTCACCATCCATCCTTTCATTTAATCCTCCACAGAAGCAATTAGAAAGTAGTTCATATACGTAACAAGATATTATCAATATGTAGTCTATGATCGTATATTAAAGTTTGTCATCATCTCTGAGAAGAATTTAGTCCACATTTTTACTCTTATACTGCAACACTTTTTAGATCTTGTTTCACAAAATTTCTTCTCTAACTATATACACTAATAAAAATATACGTACGGCCATGCGAGCACCCATATCAAGAATATGTCCTACAATAATTATATAAAAATAAAAATTCATTTATCGTTCGAAATATTTCTTTTGTATGATACCTTTGATTGTCATCTTTGATCCAGGTGTTTGTTCTCCATGATGATGTTGACCTCCTACTGGAGACCATTGTAAGAATTTTGCAGCACCAATACCTGCTCCAAATGCAAGTGCATAACCTATTAATTTCTGCATATGTATCTATAATTCGATATAATACGTATTATTTTATTTTCAGATAATCAATCAAATAAACGCAAGAAAACTAAAGCAACTTTACATTTTGAATACATACATAGAAACACAAAAGAAAAAATAACAACTATTATCTATAGTTCTTCTAATGAGCCGTTGTTTTATGTAAAAGAAGTCCTGCTACTGAACCTCGTTCATTCATAGCTGTTCGTAATCGATTTTCTTTTTCAACAAGTTCTTCATAACGCATTAACTAAAAATATTATTTAATATAGTTATGAAAAAATTACTATAATAATACTTCATGTAATCGTTCAAGATCAATTTGAGCACGATGTTTTCGATCCCATTTAAAATGTTTTGAACATAATCGTTTTGGAACTGTACATAATTCATCTGATACTTCAAATAAATCTTTCTCTAATGGACAGCCACATGCTTCATCTGGACCAATCTATTCATAGAATTCAAATATGAAAAGAAATGAAAGAAGATATCATCGTTATTTTTCACTTTTGGATCTCGTGAATGTTCTGGACAAATAACTTTAAGTCGTTTACAATAAAGATTATTTGTACGATCATAATTATCACAAAATAAACCTTCAATATTAGATTTAACATTTGATCCATATGATACTTGACTTTCAAACTAAACAAAATAAGTTAATTGCAAAACACAAACACAGTAGCAAACAAAATATCTTTACTCGAATAAAACATTTATCAATATGACGTGTATAAGCTTTTTGAGTAATTTCTTGATTACACAAAATACAAAAATACATTCCATCAGGCTCATCATTCGAGCTATCGATTTTCTAAAGAAAAATAACAAAAAACAATTTTTTGACAAACAAATCAATAATCAATATATTCACAATGTTATCTTTAATAGCTTTTAATTGTTTTCCACGTTCAATGATTTCATTTAATTTACGTTGTCGTTCATCAAGCACTAATAAACGTTGTTTTATTTCTTCAATTTCAGTTCGAATTTCATCAATAGCTTTTTTGTTTAAAGTATCAGCAACAGATGGTATTGTTTGCCATTGCATTAGACGCATTGGAAGAAATTGAAGAAGACGACTAATAGAAACACATGATGTATATGCAGAAGTGTACAACAATCTTTGTTCTAGCCAGTCTCGATCACTGTATATGCTGAAGGTCTGAAAATTTGTGTATATGTAGTTCACCGAGAATGGAAATTATTGGCATCGTGATGCTGTTATTGCTCGATTACAAAGAAAATTATAATGGACAACACTTGTTTTCTTTTTCTCTGAGCATTATAAATCAAAAAAAGACTAACTTCAAAATTTTGCGCTATGTCTCACGAAAAATATATCTGAAGTATTATCTACGGTATTTTTCACTCAAAAAAAAATATGATAAAATTTGTTTCTGAAACTTGTACGCATTCAAGTCAAACTGTGGAGAAAGTTTCTCAAAGTTTGAACTTGTTTTTATTGAACTACCATTGACTTATTGACCTCCAAAAGTCAGTAAATAATATCTCTCTACAGTCATGATCAATGTAAAATGCACATAGTCTCTGAAAGAATTGATGAGCTTGAATGAAACTAATAATCTTGACAACTGAAACGTATTGAAGAATCGGATCTCAAGAAAAATAAGTGTCATCCTTCGTAACTTCTTTTGTAATTAAGTAAAGACAGTG